AGTCTGGGCAACAGAGTGAGACTCCAACTTAAAAAAAAAAAAAAAAAAAAAGCCTAAGGCGCTCCTTAATTCCAAGATGATTTACAGGGAGCCAAGTGTCGGGAATAGGGTCCACTTGGGGCCCAGTGATGCATTGAGACAGCAGCTGTCTGGGAGTGGATCCAGCAAGGCCTGGGTCAGGTCCCTTGAGGTCGGTCTGCTGACTCAGCACCCAGAATTGGTGAATTCTGGCTCCCGTGGCCAGGGAGTTGAGGGTGCTGACTGCTGACTGGTGAGGACAGAGGACAAAGTGCAGACGCTCAGCCTTATTTATTCTGGGCTGGCTTCCCATCTTTGCTGACCTATGTGGAGGAAACTGGTCTTTGGTCAATTTCCTCAATGTTCCCTTGCCTCCCTCACCCACCATTGTTACCCCTTCTCCACCCTGTCTCCTCCCAGCCCGCCTCTCTCCTCTGTCTTTCCTCCCACCCTGTGTCTGTGTATCGTGTGAGGTTCTGAGCAATCACCCAGGCCTCAGGTCAAGGACCTGATATTGGAAACTAAGGAAGACACAGTGCCATTGTGGTCCTGTAATAAATGCATTTGGACTCTGGAGTCAGAGAACATGATACATTACCTAGGGCAAGCCACCTCATCTTTCTGAGCCTCAGTGTACTCATCTGTCACCATGGGGACAATACCTACTTTCTAGGGCTATTGAGAGAATTGAATGAGCCAAGGCATCTGAGGTTCAGAAAGTAGTATTCCAACCGCATGATTTTCCTTTTTCTTCCAATTGTTTCCCTAGGCCTTGACTAGCCCTGCATTGGCTCAAATTCAGAATGAATGAATTAAAGCTTAGTGAATGCACCCACTGGCCATAGGTGCAAATCTCAGCTCTTCCAAGTACCAGTTATGTGACTGGGAAAATCCCCAGCCACTTCTCTGTGACCTGGTTTCCTCAGACATACAATGAGGCTGATAATACCCACCGTGCAGGGTGATTGAGGATTGTACCCAGAGCCTGACACATAGTAGGCACGCAGAATATGTTCCCTGACACCAAGAATGTCTTTGCCTGTGTCTACACTCTGGGAATGAGTCCTTAATCCAAGACTCAGCAGTGCCAGTGAGCCCTGCAAACGTCTGGGGTACAGTTGACTGACTTTGTTGAAATATTGATATTGCATCCATTCCACATTCCAAATATAGCCCCATGAACTATGAACATACATCCTTCTCCATTTCAAACTTCCCCTTTGTCGGGGAGCCAAGCTTGGCAGGGAACCTGGAACCCTGGGGTGTGAGTTGAGGGGTCAATATCTGTCTCTTTTCCCCAGCTCGTGCCGCTCCTCACAAGGAACTACCTCAAACAAGGCTTCATGGAAAAGACTGGGCCAAAGGTACATTCTACCACTTCTTGGGGGACTCACATGGTCCTGTCCCAGCCACTAACAGAGCAGAACTTGGGAGGTGGGGAAATGGGCGAGGAAGAGGGGTGAGAAGGGATGTAAACCCATGTTGTGAGTTCCTGAACTGAAGGACAAAGAGGAGAGGTGTTAACTGAATGTGGGCCAGCACCACACAGGTGCCTTTGCCTCCCATGAGGGAGGCAGGAGTCTCCCCTCTAGATCATCACTGCCATTAGCTCTCCCTCTTAACTCTATCAACTGACTCCACCCCTGGGAAAGCGTAGCTGAAAAGGGACTCCGTGGGGACAGCCTTTGAACTTTCCAGGACCCTCGTGTTTTCTGTGCTAGGAACCTAAATAGTACTCTCCAAAGGAGATAGGTGCCGGTGATGGGAGTTTTGCTGGGTGCCAGCAAGCCCTGTGCACACCTCTCTCACAATACACACTCTCCCTCAAGCTCACCCTGGCTCTTCTTTGCTAACCCTGCACCCACTCCCCAGTGGTTGCTCACTCCCACTCTTTATTTTTGAGTTGGAATCTCACTCCGTCGCCCAAGCTGGAGCACAGTGGCACACTCACAGCCACTGCAGCCTTGACCTGCTGGGCACAGGTGATCCTTCTACCTCAGCCTTCCAAGTAGCTGGAACCACAGGTGCATACCACCATACCTGACTAATTATTGTAGAAACGAGGTCTCACCAAGTTGCTCAGGCTGGTCTCAAACCCTGAGCTCAGACAAACCTCTCGTCTCCACCTCCCAAAGTGCTGGGATTACAGGTGTGAGCCACTATGCCCGGCTCTCACTCTTACTTTTCTATGGAGGAGGGGGAACTTGGAAGGCCCACAGAGTTGGAGCCTGGATACTGGGGAGGAGGAACTGAAAATCAGGAGTTGGGTGAGGGTGAAAGGGGAAAAGGAGAAGAAGGGAAGAGGAGGGGAAAAAGAGCTCCCCGAAAACTTCCCCTGAAGTGACAGCATTCCAATGCTCTTTTATTTTTATTTTTATTTTTTTGAGTTGGAGTCTCACTCTGTCTGCCAGACTGGAGTGCAGTGGCTGCTCCCGGCCACCGCAGCCTCGACCTGCTGGTCTCTGGTGATCCTTCCACCTCAGCCTTCCGAGTAGCTGGAATTACAGGCGCGCGCTACCATGCCCGGCTAATTTTTTTATTTATTTGTAGAGATGAGGTCTCGCCAATTTGCCCAGGCGGGTTTATTGTAGAGATGAGGTCTTGCCAAGTTGCCCAGGCAGGTCTCGAACCCGCGGGCTCAGGCAATCCACTCATCTCAGCCTCCCAAAGGCGCGGGATTACAGGCTGAGCTACAGAACCCGGCTCCAATGCTCTTTGAAATAAAAGGGTTAATATGTTTAGAGAACAGTTGTTAGGAGGACAATGGATGGTGTTAAACAAGTAGTGTGAAAGCAAGCCCCGGGTGGGTTGAAAAAGCAAAGGATGGTTTTAGGTTTTCTTCCTTCACTGGCCAAGGGCATAGCCCTTCCCCATGGTTCTCGTCACAGGCCTTCTCCACCTCCCCACCCCCCCACTCCCACCCCCCCTACCCCCCCACCACCCGCACCCCACCAGGCTAGAATTTGACCAAGGCCAGCACTTTCAGCCTTGCTGAGCAGTAAGCAGCCACTTCTGATTTCCCAACTTCCTTTTTCTGAGACTTCTTTGTCTACAGCCTGGAAAGAAGGAAGCACCTCTCCCAACTCAAAGCAGCACCTGGAGGTGGCAGGGTGAAGCTGGCAGAGGCTGGGGGAGTGGGCGGTGGGGGGTTGGGAAGGGGGTGAACAGAGCCTTCACAACTGCTTATACCTGAGCATCTGGGCCTGCCCAGGCCCCAGAGAGAAGTGCTAGGGCGTCTGACTGCCGAGGCTGGGCTGGAGAACCAGCAAGACTAGCCAGCTCCCTTGGTTTGGCCTGGGCTGGTCCCTGACCTGTGTCCTCAAGAAATGCTCCCTAACTTTGTCATCCCTGGTAAGAGGTTCCCGTCCTCTCTTGCAGCAGAGAGAACCTTTCAAGAAAAGGTGGTTCACCCTGGATTCCCAGGAGCGGAGGCTGCTCTATTACAAGAACCCACTGGTAAGAGCCACTTCTGGTCTCTCCCTCCCCAGGGCATCCCCAGACAGAGGTGGGTCGCTGCTTGTCTGGGACTGTGTGAAAGCCACAAACACATCTCCCAGAACCCCAGGGGTAGAGAAACCTGGTGAGGAAAACCTCTACGTTTTGCGTCACCTCCTGTTCATGAAGCTCTTCTGACACAAAGGCTTCTCCCTCCCTTCATCTTCAGGAAGTTCATTATGGTATCCAAAATGCTACCAACTGTAGCTAAATAAGGTGTATTTCTTCCTCTGGTCTCCAGGCCTCATTTCTAGCCAGAAGCCCATGAAGTGTAGTGGTTAGGAATGTGGACTTTAGAGTTCAGCTATCTGGGCCCTGCTACTTGTAATGGTGTGCCCTGGGCAGAGTACTTGGAGCTCTGTGCCTCAGTTTCCTCCTCTGAAAAATAGGTTTAATAAGAATATCTTCTTGACCGGGCTCGGTGGCTCAGCCTGTAATCCCAGCACTTTGGAAGGCCGAGGTGAGTGGATTACCTGAGCCCGCGGGTTAAAGACTAGCCCCGGCAACTTGGTGGGACCTTGTCTCCACAATGAAATAAAGAAAAATTAGCCAAGTGTGGTAGCGCATGTCTATAGTTCCAGCTACTTGGAAGGCTGAGGCAGAAGGATTGCTGGATCCCAGCAGGTCAAGGCTGCGGTGGCAGTGAACATGCCTCTGCACTCCAGCCTGGGCAACAGAGTGAGACTCTGACTTAAAGTAAATAAATAAATGAAGCTGGCCAGGCTCGGTGGCTCAGCCTGTAATTCCGTGCTTTGGGAGGCCGAGGTGAGTGAATTGGCTGAGCCCGCAGGTTCGAGACCTGCCTGGGCAACTTGGCGAGACCTCATCTCTAC